CTAAACCTCTCGGGCAGGGATCTAATGACTTTTTTAAGGATTTTGGACTCGGGATCCTTTCACCTAAGTTAAAGTTCGAATTCACAATGTGATTCGGCTTCGCATAGAATTCATCGTCCTTCATCATAATCTCTTCAAACCTAGTGGTTAACATCTGCAGTTTAGAATTATTAAAACCGTTTTAGTTCACTTGTGTGCGATTTCTAAAATATTCCAAACTTCCTTAATAGTTTCACACATCAAGACTCTCCTAAATTCTTCATCAGACACAGCCATGAATAGAGCATGTAATACTTTACTATTCCAGTTGCATTCATCTAGATTATTTTAGTCCATAGAGAGATGTCAGTGGTGTGACTACGCCAGCAACGGTTGTTGAAGGTGGAGCCCACCAATTTTGAATGCTAATCCAAATACGTTCATCCAAAGATTTAAGAAAGACTCTCATTCGAACTTTCTAGTAGGCATAGTTGCTTCCGTCGAAAAACGAAGGCACGGACAATGACTGACTCATCTAGATGTTATAAAGGGTCAGGAATCAAATTAAGACTCTAATACCAATTGAAAATTATGCAGTTCGACCCTGACAATACCTAAAGGGGGTGAATAGGTATATTATGCGGAATTAAAAAATTATCACAAATTAGCAATAAGTCACCAATTGTGATCTCTAGATGGTTAAACAATCACATCAGATTAATCCTATATTTGAATATCGCAAATTATATAAACAATAAATAAAGTAGTAAATCAACACACGGTATGATCACGTAGAAACCCAACTGGGAAAAACTCCGGCCACTTTGCCAGTCAACAATCCACTATAAACAATTTGTAACTTACTGTCTACCAGCCTAGATGACGACACGTACTATGTGATCCTGATTGCAATTCCAATAGCTTTCCTGGATTGTGTGCTCCTGCACCACTCCCAACTGCAGTTTTCAAAACTCTCCTGGATTGTGCTCTCCTGCAACAAGTCCCAACTTTGCGAAATCGTTTATCTCCTGTGGATCCACAAAAAACACCGCGTTCTTCAACGACCGTAACTTCCCATCAACTTCCCTTGATCTTTAGTAACTCTGACAGATGTGATGGAAAGAACTGTTTGATATTTGGATTACGAAATCGATATTTTTCTCACCAAAACAAACTCACGAGATGAAGGTAGAAAGTAGAAATATGATGGCACTCTCTCTGACGAAGTTCTCTCAACGATCAACCTTAAAATTCACATTCAGATGTGTTTTGGTATTTATAGGTAGGTTAGAAAAGTAATGGGTCGGGGAAAAAGCCTTTAAATCTCGAAATAAAAAATTTTCGGACGTCGCTGTCACTCGATCGATAGCTTAGTGACAATCGAGAGACAGTAAATCTCGAAATAAAAAATTTTCGAACGTCGCTGTCGCTCGAACGATAGCTCAGTGACAGTCGAGCGACAGGCTGTCGCTCGAGCTAAGTCAGGGCGACAGTCAAGCGTTGGAGGTTCTATTTTTTACGCTCAAGCCAATCAATGGCGACAGTCAAGCGAAAATCCACGAAATCAATATTTTTCTCACCAAAACAAACTCATGAGATGAAGGTTGACAGTAGAAATACGATGGTACTCTCTCTGATGAAGTTCTCTCAATGATCAACCTTAAAATTCACGTTCAGATATGTTTTGGTATATATAAGTAGGTTAGAAAAGTAATAGATTAGGGAAAAAGCCTTTAAATCTCGAAATAAAAATTTTTCGAACGTCGCTGTCGCTCGAACAAGAGCTCAACGACAGTTGAGTGACAGGCTGTCGCTCGAGCTAAGGTAGAGCGATAGTCAAGCGTTGGAGGTTCTATTTTTTACGCTCGAGCAAATTCATAGCGACAGTCAAGCGAAAATCCACGAAATCTAGACCTAATAAACCTATTTTCATATAATTGCATATTACTTCTTGACTTTTTACATCATTTACAATTAA